AGAAAGGGTGAAATGATAGAAAAAAATAAAATTCAGCAGTTAGGAATTGTAGAAAATTGATAAGGGACGAAAAAGGACACGAGACATCTATGGTAGAGATAAGAACAATAAAAAGGAGTTTTTTAAATACATTAAAAACAAAAAGAATCCTGACAATGGTAGCATGATCAGTAATAATGGAGAAAAGGCAGAAGTGTTCAATAAATATTTCTGTTCCATATTTGGGGAATAAACAGATAATATAGTCTCATCATATACACCTCTACCTCGATATAACGCCGTCCTCGGGAGCCAAACAATCTTACCGCGTTATAGGTGAAACCGCATTATATCGAACTTGCTTTGATCCGCTGGAGTGCACAACCCTGCCCCCTGGAGCCGCTGCTTTTCTGCGTTATATCCAAATTCGTGTTATATCGGGTCGCGTTATATCGGGGTAGAGGTGTACCTTTAGTATCTTGGAAGGATCTTAAACAGAAGCTACCAAAATTAGATATTTTTAATTTAGCAAGTCCAGATAACTTGTATCCATGAGTTTTAAAAGAGCTGGCTGAGTAGCTCATTGGCCCATTAATGCTGATTTTCAATAAGTCTTGAAGCGCCAGGGATGTTCCACAAGACTGGAAGACAACTAATATTGTGCCAATTTTTAAAAAGGGTAAATGGAGTGACCTTGTAATTCATAGATTCATAGATTCTAGGACTGGAAGGGACCTCGAGAGGTCATCGAGTCCAGTCCCCTGCCCTCATGGCAGGACCAAATACTGTCTAGACCAGAGGTTCCCAAAGTGGGCGATACCGCCCCCTGGGGGGCGCTGGAACGATCCAGGGGGGCAGTAGTAGCCTCAGGTGCAATTGGGGGGCGTTGAATAAAAATAAGGGGGCGGTGGAAGCATAAAGAAAGAAGAGAATATAAGAAAATTTTGAAAAACCGTTCGTACATGTTTCATCTGTTTAACATAGAGTTAAAGTTGTACTGATTACTTTATTTTCCAAATAAATTCACAAATTATAACTGATCAGGTGTCAAGTCCG